ACCGTGGAAATCTCTGCATTTCCTGGGGTCAGTGCCCGTTCTCCTGGCAGAAGGAGTTGTTGCAGGTAACCTCTCATGTGCCACTCCCTCATGCTGGCTTTTTCTTCCCAATCAAGCAGTCTTCACTTTCTCCAGCATCTCCAAATTGTGCTTTGTCCTGCTGTCAATAATATCTCCCTTCCCTTGTGCCATAGACAAGAGTCTATGCCTTTTTGTCACTGTTCTGATTATTTTGAGCTGTATGATATAATAGCATTACCACTATCTTTGTTCTTGTGGAAAATCTCAGCTTTCTCCAAAAAAAGCTGGAAAAATACTGTTTCAGTCCACCCACCACCTGTTTGCATGGGATTACATTACAGTGTCATCAATTACTGACATCCCTTGTCCTTAGTCCAGAAAATGTGTAATGCAGTTCTGCATCAGAAAGCTGACTGACCTCATTAACATCTGAACACTTGTATAAGAGATTTCATAAAATAATTCACAAGCTGTCGGTAGAGATTCCCTAAATTGCTACTGAGCTTTTAAATTGTACAAGCATTAATTAAAAAAGGGCTTTGTGGGAGTTAGAGTATGGGACAGAGGAAGGAATAGGACAATAATAAATTCAGTTAAGGGAAAAAAAAGGGACAAGTACTCATTGTGACTAGAATATGATCTGTTCTCAAGAATAAAAAGCTGAACTGTATGGTAAGAATCAGGTTTCATGTTTGCTTCCACCCCAGCCTTGTAAGCATCAGCTTCTTAAATTCTTTTTAATTTGTTTCAGGCTGCTGTGGCCAGCAGTGTTTGGGATGTGACTCAGAAGTGTTCTCTAGTTAATAGCATTTGCCACGTACCTTAAAAGTTGTAGCTCTTTATAGGAAAGAGGAAAGAGAAGGGAACACAAACCAGCAGAAGTTTGGGGTTTTATACAATTCTTAGCCATCAATTGATCTGATTAAATGGGAAATGCACTTATAATCCTTCCTACAGCATGTGCCACAGCTGGTTCTGTTTTCTGTTGCAGTGGCTGGTTTTGCATGCCAATGTCTATTGCACAAGAGGAAAAGTTCCTGGCACCACTTCTGTCACTGTGAAAATTCTTTATAAAGCACATTTCCCCGCCACGTTCTCCCTCCCCCGTCCCAGGTTGCTTGAGGCGCCATGCCAAGACTCATGGTCTGTGCATTGTAAAAAAAATGCGGTTTCCAGTACGAGAAGTCAGAAGATTGATGGTAGCAGGAACAGAAGAAAAACTGCCATTTAAGCATAATGTTTGTGCAGAGGGGGAATGTGATTGACGCAACATCAAGAAATGTTAGACACAACGCCCTGTCAAGTTAGACAACGTGCAAGGTTTGCTGAAGAATGTGTGTACTGGAAAAGTAGGCAGCCCTGTGGGGACAGGCATTGGCTCCAGTAGGTCTTTAATATACAGAATAGTTGCTAATGGATCCAAATCTCTTCTCATTAGAGAAGCCTCAGAGGTTATGGGAGTGCAATTTACTCACCCAGACGCATTATCCCAGGGCACAAGCGGTTGCACAGCCTCACAAAGCGCTGCCAGTGTTGGCACACTACCTCAACTGATGGCACATCCACTGCTCCTGAGCTCCAGGGGCCCTTCTCGCCTATGCAGCCTGCTCGCTCAGGGTTCCTTGTGGCTGGTGGGCATTTGCTTCATGCTGGGCAAGGCTGTGGTCAGCTTGGTCAAGCACAAAGCTGTCTTCTAAATCCTCTGTCCCTGCCTGGTCCATGCTGCCAGCCTCCATGAGGCTTGTTTGCCTGGGCTAGATTTCCCAGCTGTAGGAGGATGTTGTATGAGATGCAAATCAGATGCAGCTGACTTACAGACATGCTGTCAGAAGACAGACTTTCTGGTCCTGCGGGGACAAACAGACTTCAGGTGATGATGCACAGTCACCATGCTGAGCTTCCCCAGCTGAGCAGGTTTCGCTGGTGTTTTCCAGACCTCTGGCGTTTCTCCCTACAGCCGGATGAACAGCCCCTCCTCCCTGAGGCTGTGGCTACTGATAGTGCCAGGGTGTCCACCTGCACCATGGCCAGACAGGCTGTACAGGCTCTTGTGATTGATCTCCAGTCAAAATCGAGATGGGGATTTCAGCTGGGCCTTGCACTCCTGCAGAACAGAGTTTATGGGACTACTGAGGGACAGGCTGGATGACGGCACGCCCCACGTCACCCATCACGCCGCATCCCATGACATCTTCTCCAAGCTGTGTGAGGCCTGAGGGGGGGGTTCCTTTTGAGCGGTGGGTGCAGTGGGATGGGGCCCTCTCTGTCAGTGTTACACAGCCCATTCCTCTTTCAAGCAGTGGATTCCACTCACAAACTGAAAAAAAAAAGACAAGGAAAGCATTTGCATAAGGACGAGCAGCACTATACCTGGAAAACAGCAGTAGAACGGTGGAGGTCCTATCTGGTTACAGTCAGCGCTTCACTCCTGCCTCCCTCAAAGTTTTCTTCCTTCTTTCTCTCCAGTGACTCAAACTTCACCTTCCCTGGGAGCCGTGTGTGTCCTTCCTCCTTCCCCTCTTTCCTCAACCTTTTTCTTCTCCTCATCTTTCCTCCTCTGGGCACCTGCCAGACCCAGGCTGGGGACTGTGGTCTCCCCACATTCTGGGTGAAATGTTCAGAGCAAGAGATTTCTCCAACTCCATAAGCAGATTCTCCCTTTTGTGAAGATGCTGCCTGTCTCCCTGCAGTCCCATTTCAAAGAAACCTCCCTCCCAAAGAGGCTCTTTTGGTGCTGTATCAATCACACCTTGTGCCTCAACCAGCATCCAGCCAGCTCCTGTATTTTTTGATCCCTTATATCTTGTTCCCCTTTCCTATCTTCCTGCTTCAGGAGGTCATGGTGGGAAGGGTGAAACTGTCAAGGTGCCCCTGCGGAAACCCAGCTTGACGTGGTGTTTTGAACCTGCTCCTACAACAGACGTCGTGACCGGGGGGTGCAGAGGGGCAGGGTTGTGCACGCTCAGCTGTGAATACCTGGCAAGGACAAAACCCCTCGGGGGGAGAAGGTGCACCACCTGACATTGCAGTCATACAAGCTGGGACTACGTGCAGCTGTCAGAAACTCAGGCTTGTTTCTGGGTACCATAAACTACTGCTGCTCTACAAACAGCTAAGGTGTATGTCTGTCACTCTGCAACTGCCTTTCTGTGCAGGACAGTGAGGCAATTCTCCAAAATCCCCCCAGCTCAAGGCAGCATCTACAGCTGATGCTTGTCCCTGCTTGCCACTGTGTCAGTCACCTAAACACAGCCACTGAGTCTCCTCTCCTCTCCCTCTCACCAACATGGGTATCCTCCTCCAGGCACTGCAGCATTTTCTCCTGTTGAGAAAATCATATATGGCCTTCGCAGATGTTGGCCAAAAGCCTGGAGTCCTCCTTGTGTCACGTGCTGCATGCTAAAGGGAGGCGATTTCATGGCCCGTGAGACGCAGGGTTTGTTTGCGTAGTGACTTCTAGACAAAGTCATGTGTACACCGTGGACTGCAAGGGACTGGCACAAACCAGAAGTCACATCAATCTCGCTGCGCAGATGGGTCATCAGTGTCTGCTTCTTGGGTCGCATGTGATGCACAGTTTAATAAAAGGTATCTTATCCTAGAAGACAGGGATGTAACCAAAGCATAAGCAGCAGGAAATAATGAAAACTGAAAGAAGTGTAGCCTGACTTCAAGATAGCCAAGGCTACGAGATCTTATTTTAATCCAAACTGAAGGTAAGAATGGCTCTGGATATGGAAGGCCCCTCCTCCTGTGACAAATCTGGGACTCTTCTATTATGTGCTTGTTTTCTTCATAGCTGGTGCGAGTCCACTTACTGCCACGTACAGCTGCAGATCCTGGAAGTTTCAGAAGACATGCTGCTTTGCACACTGACAGCTTACTGACTGGAACATCACCCTACTCTCAGTAAACTATCTGGTGACAGCAGTCACTACAAACCGCCACCCTGTAACTTGCTCGGAAAAGTATGTGCTTCCCCTCCAACTCCTCCCTTTTGCAGGCAGACATCTTTCCCCCTTTAACCCCAGGGAGATGGTATAATTACTTCTTTATACATATTATTACATATTTGTACAACTCTGGCATCTCAGAACCTGTTGGAGAACCAAGGACCATACTGTGCCACACAGAGTAGAAATACAGACCAGCTTGACTGGGGATTGGGCACAAATAGAAGTGCAAAGATGTGTGGGGAACAGATACCTGCTGCAAAGGGAATCAGATGAAGTTTTGTCCGTGTAATTCACAACATCTAAGGCAGACCATGCTCATCGTAGCCCAGAAGTCTTGTCACAGGAGAGGACGATGAGGTGCTAAAGCCCGACTGGCTCTGATCCTTGCTGTTTGCTAGGTCAGTATATTGAGTTCTCCCTCTGGGAGGTTTGATACAGAACTGAACAAGTGACATTTCCTCTGCCTGCTTGTGTATTTTGGCTGCTACTGCCCTTCCATGAATCTGCACAGACTGCTGGCCTTATCTGTTCGTGACATTTCAGGATTGTTTGCAGATTTTCGAACTCAGGAAAAAGGAAAACTGAAAATGAAGCCAAGGAGCTGAGCAGAAGTGTCACAGGGAGGTGACGGAGGCTTGTGCGGAGGTGGAAGGGACGGGGAGGTCCTCCCTTCTTCAGAGGCAATCACCACATGTAGTGAAATCTCTTGCAACTAACAGCTTCCTATAACAAAATGCAATGCGAAATCAGTCTTTGGAAAAGAAGCTTAAACTATTCTGCCAAAAACTTCACAACAAAGTCTTCCAAGTTTCCAGAGTATGGTGGAAAACATCCTTCAGGGTCAGCAAGCTCAACTGCAAGCCCTTCCCAGGACTGCAACCAGAAACACAGAAAGATGGCTCCATTCCAACAGAGGCTGCTGGGACCAGAAGCAGCGATTGAAGACGCCACAGCAAACTGCTCTCGCTTCACGCAGGGCACTGCTCGCAGAGGGGGTGGCAGCTGCTGCCACGCAGGGCTGCGATGGCCCGGCCGCAGTTCAGCGCCTGGCTGATCCTGTGTGTGTTCGCTGGATCCCAGAGGCTGACAGGTAGGATGTGCACCTGCTAGCGACGCGGCTGCTTGGCTCGGCAGATGTTCGTGCAGCACCAGTGGCGCGACTCTTGGCCTGCTTCTTCAAACCCGTTCGGACGCCTCCGCTAGCTGTGCTGACACGGGAGAGAGCTGGACTCCCAGCTGGGGCTGTTCACTGGGGAAGGCACTTGTGCCCGCTCGCAGGGTGAAGATCTGCTGCTGTTTCTGGTGGCAGGGGGAAGGTTGTCTTGGGTCTCCACTGAAGAAGTCTGCTCCTGCAATAACGCTTGTGGGTTTTCTAGGTGCTTTTTAGGGGGAAAAAAACTCCTGTTGAATGATAAAATAAGGGACCATTTTCCCATCTCCAGAGGATATTTATGTAATTATTTCAATACATTATTTGTTATGGTTTGTTTAATTTTTGTTTTACTCAAAAAACTAACACTGCATTTATTTATGAGACAGTTACTAATAACAGCAGTTTGGCAGCTATTCAAAAAATTCACGGACTTTGGAGCCAATCAGATCTCTCTCAGCAGAGGGATCTGTGAACCTAGCAGATCACTCAGCAGAGAGAAGCCCAGCAAATAAATTTTCACATGATGCAGTATTTTCACCTGAGCTAAAAGCCTTGCTGGCACATTCATGGAGGAGTAGAAAAGAGCAGCTACATCCCTGCTTACATTCCAAAGCCACAGCTGGCTTAGATCAGGGAGCCTGCAGCTGTGCAGGGAAACAAACCTCCGCAGCCTGGGGGGTGGCAGTGCACTTCTTCAGGCAGCTCCTACATCTCCCTGGAAAGCTTTGATCAAGAATGGGAAGTTGGAAGCAGGGTTTGGTAGTAGTCATCACACAAATACAGTATTACATAATTTTTCTACTTTTTATAAGCACCTGCTGACCTTAACTCTGGAGTACTCAAATTCTCCCTCTTTTTTATATAAAAACCCCTTCAACCATATAAAAATGGAAAAAAAAGTATCAGAGAGCGTACTGATTTATACGAGCTTTTTCCATTTCATGTTTCTTGATGTGCAGGATGAGTCTGTAAGCAGAAGAGAGTCTTGGCTACACGACTATGCTGATCAACACAGAGAAGGGAGGGGTTGCAGCCTCCCGCTCATAGTCCTGGACCGAGGCTTCTCGTGTCTCCTTTTTCACAAAGAAAGAAATCATAAAACAAATACAAAAAGTTAAAGCACTAGAACTATTAGCAAATGAAAAGTGAAGAATTCTTCGGATTAATGTGACTCTCATATTAACAAACTCCCATTCCTCTGTCCTGGTATCAATTTTTCACAGTTTAAATGATGTTGGGTGGCCCAGCAAGGAATTAGCTGGACGTGAGAAGAGCCGTAATGGATCCACCCCGGTTTCTTTTACCCTCACACTCTGCCCCGGCCAGCAGTAGATGCTCAGGGAAGAAGTATAAAACCACGATAAGCATCGGGTTATGTTTCCACCAGCAGGTTGAGGAGCCTCCCAGCACCCTCCTTCCATCGGGCAGCATGACTTTCTCCAGCAAAAGCTGCTAAGCAACCAAACCCCACCAGTTCAAAACTCACCTGTTCTCTGTGCGAGGGGCTTCCTTGCTGCCTGTCAAAGCAAGTGTCTTTGCTGCCGTACGCTTTAGCTCTGTTGGCAGGATTAAGGGCTGTCATATACAAAACTTACACTTGCCTCCTTTAACCACTTCTGCTTCTCTTAAACAGCTTGCTTTACTCGTCAAAATCCCGTGATCAGCATCTGTCACGTTTGGCAAGCTATGCGCTGCAGCTCAGAAATATTGAAGACATTATTGACAAGCAAGTGACAAAAATAAATAGGAGGGGCCATGGTCTTGCACTACCAAACTCTGCCTGATGTCTTCCAGATGAACATCTTCACAGCAGGGACGGTGGCAGCGCCAACACAGTCCATCGCAGCCCGGAGGATGCTGACATCATGTTAGAGGTCTCCTGGGTGCTGGGGGCCCGTGGGCCAAGGCACTGTTAGCGCCCGTGCTCCCACTCACCTGCACATAAAAACTCATGTTCTGCTGGTTCTCATCCCTGCCGGATTTTGGGAGCACCTGGAAAACGCCTCAGCGATGCCCTGACTGCGGTTGTGCTCCCTCTCATTGTGGGGTGCAGCTGAAGGGGGCTCCGACCCCCTCCACGGCACCTGACCCCTCTGGGGTGAGACAAGGGAGCATCCCCGCTGGGTTAGGTGACTCCCGCAGGACTGCGGCGGGAGAGGGAGGGCGGGAGGCGAGAGCTGGAGGGGCCCCATGGGGAGACCGAGGTGTGGGGCCGGTCAGAAAAGGGGTGTGGGGCTGGCGGAGAAGGACGTGGAGTGGGACTGGGTGGGCCGTGGGCAGCGAGTCAGGGAGCGGCCGCCTCTCGGTCCAGCCCGAGATTTGGCAGCCTTGCAGACAGCTTTACAGCTCGCTTACAACTGGCAGAGGGCTTGTGCTGGGCTTCCCGAACACGTGCTGCTCTTCTCTTCCAGATGCTCTGGGGAGGGCTGGATGTTCAGGCCAACGGGACAGTCCGGCTGCAGGATGAAGAGCTGGCCTCCCTGCGCCCGGCACGGCGGTTCATGCAGATTTTGGAGGATGAAGTTCCCAAAACACCGATAGAGATTGAGCAGCATCTGAGATACTATTCACTGACCGATACCCCCTTGCCTCTAACAGAGTTTGACCGTCTCCTTTTCACCAGTGTTTACTGTGCCTATCAGGTTCGCTCTGTGCAGGGTCTGGATAAAAATCTTTGGATTAGCTTCTTCTCTCAGCTGGTCGATGAAATCTTTCGTGACCTGTGCAAGGGGCTGTGCCCTGCAGACAGCACCCTCCTCCTGGCCTCCTGGCCCTGGAAGGAGAAGCCTTCTCATTTAGCATCTCTGAAACGTTTCTATCGTTCTAACTTGCCCAGGACCAAGAGGGACACTGAATAAGGGAAACTGCTGTAAGCAAGGACACACCTGACTTCAGCTGCATCCTTGGTTATTTTGAACGCTTTCCACATTATCCGGGACTTTGTACAAATACACCACATCTTTTTGTCCTGCTTTCTGCATTGCACTGGCAACCCTCTAAGGATTTATACACAAGTTTTTATTTTTAAATGAAATAGGGCAAAACTATAAAGTGCATTTCACCCTTTTCCGTTTTTATTTCCTGTTTGTTTTTGGTTTTTAAGTGAGCTGTGCTGAAGTGGGGAGTGCTGTTCAGATGTGTTATCTATCCTGATCACTGATGCTTGCTGGTGAGGTGCCCTGGCAGTTTTTTTCCAGGGTGTTACACTGGTGTCCTAGCTGACTTCATTTCAGAGAACCCAGCTCAGCCTCCTCACATTCCCCCTGTGGTTTCAGCCAAATACAGTCTCTCTTCTGCTCTCCAGTAACCAGCTACACAGATTTTGTTGTGTTTCATGATATAGGTCACATACTTAACTTCAGCTTTCTGCTCATGTGACATCACATTTTATGTGTCCATTGTAATTCCCCATCTCATGTATTCATTTTTCTTTAGAAAACAACCTGAAAATGTATGTATTCCATGAAGCCTTCTAGTATTTGCATATCATATTTACACACGTACATTGCTTTGTGTCAGTTATCGGTTTGGAATATACTTCCTTAAATCTCATTTCAATTCTTAAGGATAGTGACCTAGTTATTTCTTCAGCAGATTTTACCTCTTCTATGAAGTTTTTTTTTTGTACAGCTATGGCACCTTACAAGCCAAATATAATAAATATACAATCTCTATCCTTAAAATCAGAAACACGATTATTTTATGGAAAGAGATCTTTAACCTTTCTCTATCTTACACATTTCAGTGTGGAATTAAATAAATGTAGTTATCTACACAGGAGGATTTTTTTTTCTCATTTCTACTAGGTTTCCCGCTGCCATTATACGTACATTAATTTTGAACATTCATTGCATGTGCTTAGATGATGGGATCCATAATTTCCTTTCCATCAATATACTCTTAATCTTCCATGCTCAGCAAAGGAGGCATGTGCGACATTCAAAGTGGGAACTGCTAGCTTTTGACCTAGTTAATCTTTTTCCAAGCCATTGTTGCCCAACAGATGGCGAGGAGAAATGGTGAGGCAGGAATAAGAAGCCTGGAAGCAAGATGCCACAGAGAATGGTTTTAGAGGTCAGATGAGGGCTGTGACAGAAGACAGATTTACACAGTTCATAAAGCAGGTTGTTTGTAGCCTGGTTTTCATTTTGCCTTTTTTTGATTTTGCCTTTTTTTTTCCCCCCAAAGAATGCAGGAATTAAGATTAGCATTTTATCTGAAGCATAACTTCTAGTAAACTAGTGCCCTACCTCATGTTCTTCTGTTCTTATGCTGTTTTTTTGCATACGTTCAGTCTCTACCCTTCATCCTTTTCCCAAATATACCCCCAGTTTTTAATGTCTAGGATATGCATGGAGTGATGGAGGCAGGGAGTGGCTGCAGACAAGTCCAGTTCGAGCAGAGAATATCATCGAAAAGCTGAGCTGGGGTGACACTAGTGCATGAAAATATTGTCTTGCTGGAGAATATACAGTCTGAGCTACACGAATGTCTGGATAAAGGTTCAGGGGGTTGGCTTGCTGACTCAGATGCAAATACACTGGTTTGAGGTCAGGATTTTTCTAGGATCAGTTTAAGAGCATTGCTATATGTTGAGCAGGTTATAAATCAAACTCCAGTGATATCACAAATTTTTGTGTGTGCTCAAGATGATGCACTTTCACAGTTTATGTATTTTGGGAGACAAACCAGGGTTTATCTCAACTGAAACGGCCCCAATCGTACTACGATGAAGCCCCCAACCTCCCACTTTCTGCCTGCCCACCTGGGTGGATCCTGCCATTGGTCCCGATGGCCCTGTCAGGACACACCAGTCTCCCTACAGCAGCACTGTGGCTCGGTGGAACACAATGTGTAAGAAACCACTGCAACACAGATGCTGAAAATATCTTTTAATGGTACCTTTGATCCCGTTTGCGCTAGGTTACTGATACTGCATATGGCAAGTTAGCCATACCCTTGTATTCAAGAAGCTCATTTCTGGAGAATGTAATGCCCCTGCAGTCAACACTGCCATTGCATGCCATGGTACTACTCACACATTATGAGCTAGCTCCTGACCTAAATATAAAGAGATTTAAAAATACATTTTTTATTCTTCTTACTTACTGTGCTTCTAAGCTTTCAGAGGATGGTTTGTTTGTATATTTAAGCCCTCATCCTTCACTACAAGGGCTAGAAGCCTACTTTTTTGTCTGTTTCTAAACGTATTATTTTCATTGAAGGGAAGCTGAGATTCTTGAACACAGCTTCTTGACTTCATCAATGTCAGATTAAGAAAAGCATGAAATATTGTGAAACTTGCAATAAAATCAGAAGAGGTACCAACACTTCACATGCATGAATATCAAAAAACAGTGTACAGAGACACTGGCTCAGTAACACACACTGCAGCTCCAGCGATCACCATGCTTCTTTCTCTCGTGAACTGGTACCTCACCCAGCGACAAGCACACAAGTCTCTCAAGTAATAACAAACTCCAATCTGAGAAAATTTTTCATCTTTTGTATTTTTATTACATTCATTTTCATTACATTTATTCCCTCCCCAGATATGCAAGGAAAGTCACCACATCCTATGCTTTCTGGACACTGGGAATCTGCAGCAACATTACTGCAGTGGTTCTCTGGTCCTCAGCATCTCACTACACTGCCCCATCCCTGCCCCAAAACTACCTCATGCTTTATGCTTAAATTAAACACCAACACAGGACACACACATACGACCTGTAAAGACCTTTCTATGGATGAACGGCAGACACAGCAGTGGCCCTGCATACAGGGCACAAGCGTGCAGCACAGGAAAGCACTGGACACATGGTAGCATGCTCAAAGTAGAGGACGATACTCGAAGAGGAGCTATACCCAAGTTCAAAGCACCTTGGCTTTTTTTATGCTCCTTTCACATGTACGTTTAATTATTGGACCCTTGGGATGAGCTGGCACCTGGAAGCTGCTTTGGCTGAGCCTCTGCATAGATCAGGAAGCCCGTGAAGGTGATGTACTTGCCATGGTTGCTGTAGGCACCATAGCCATCATGCTGATGGCTGTAGAGCCAAACGGTGTCCCCGTATTGCAGAGGCAGCATGATACTCTGGCTCTGCATCTCCCGCCTCTTGGAGTGGTTGTCATCATAGATCATGGCCTGCACCTCATTGTGGTTCTTCATAAGTTTCACTGACATAGTCTTAAAGGGCATTTTGCCAATGGTGAAGGAGAAATAGTATGCACCAGGTATACGGCACGAGAAGATGCCAGTAGAGGAATTGAAATCTTTTCCAATGTTCACAAACTCTGTGTCAAATGTGATTGGCTCATGCTGGGTTTGCTTGTCATCTGTCCCCAGGAGACTTTGTGAGCGGGCAACGGAAAATGCAGAGCGAGGGTCTTGTTCCCTGTTCGGTTGATCAGATAACACGTGTCGCTGTGAAGCTTCATTCTGCTCTCCGGGAAGTTGCTGAATAGTGGGACGGCGCAGCCCCAGCTCTCGAGAGCTAAGAGCATTCTGGAAGAAGGCAGAAGTGTCTGGATAGATTAGGTAGCCATTGAAAGTTGTATAGGGGCCCACATTGCTGTAAAGAGCATACTTGGGGTCTCCATGTAAACGCAGCCAAACTGTGTCACCATAGTCAAGCTGCAGCATGGCACTCTGGCTGGCTACCTTCCGCTCCTTGCGGTGATGTTCATCATACACAATCACTTGCACCTCATTCTTGTTTCTCATCAGCATGACAGACAAGTTTTTCTTGGGGTATTTCCCAACAGTGAAGGAGAAGTAGTAGGCTCCAGGGATCCGACAGCGGAACAATCCAGTCTTGGGATCAAAGTCATTCCCAATATTCACATACACTTTGTCAAAGGTAATGACCATCTCAGAGCTCCCTTCCATGCTGCTGGTTCTGGCCACAGAGAAAGCAGAGCGAAATTCAGTAGTGGTGTCTGCTGGGAAGCCATCTGTAGGCACAAAAATCATGCAGCAAAGGAAGCCAAACAGGATCTGAACCTTCAATGTCATCATTGTATCTGAAAGGAAAAGGAAGCATATTTTAGCAGGAATCCCATTAACTTCCAGCTCATACTCCAGCCGAAACCTGGACCTGAACTTTTCTAAACAGACATGAAGCTCTATGTCCAAATACTGAGAAGTTTCCAGTACATCCTCTGATCAGCGTATGGGACAACACCTCAGTATAGATCCCAGCACCATTTTGATATTTTCCTAGTGAGAGCTGGACCTTTTTTCCCTGCACTTGTAGCAAGAAAAAGAATCTTCTCATTTGAAAGCCTGCCTACCTTACAGCTTGTCTGCAAAACACTGTGTTGCTCACAATGCAGAGGGATCTCAGAGCTTGCTGGGGCTTTGCCAGAGCTCCCTTTTGTAGTGCTTTTATTCATAAGACCAAGGATAAAACAAAGCCCTACACAGACCCTGTATTATACAACTGAGACACAACTGAAGGACAGGGAGAAGAGGACATATGCTCTAGAGATTCCCATGCAGATGCCATTGCCTAGCACTGCACTGTTTCACAGGATGTGGAAGCTGTAAGCCAAGTAAGTTGGTAGACCCCATTATTCAGACGGATTTTACCATGCATCTGTGAAGCATGTAGAGAACCTAGAAAAAGAGGGAATGTTCAGGGAAGGAAGCAAGACAATGGAGAAAAAGAATTAAATGAAAAAAAAGCAGGAAAATGAAAGAGAAATTAAAAGCAAGTCTCCCAAACTACAGAATCCCTGAGAGTGACCTGAAACACCAAAAACAGTGAAACAACTCCCTATGTGGATAATAGACCAGAGAGAAAAAACTTTTTTGACCCTTAAAAAAGAGGGGTAAGTTAGGAGCTAATGGGATTTT